AAGTTTTAGTTATAACATTCTGAGGCTGTAAAATGATTAGAGAGAGGTTTATTTTATTAACTTCCAGTTTAAACTCGCGTTTCACATTCTAAACACCTGTAAAAAAAAGCTTAATTTTATTTTACTTATTTCTGTCCTGTTGGATATGGAACACTTTAAATATAATTAATTTATAGTTTGATAGAACAAATCTTTGTGTGCAACTTATTTTGTGATTGTGGAATAAATACAAAACTTCAGTGTAAGAAAATATATACAAATATATATGAATGAGCTTCTTGGAGGAATCTGATTTAAAATTACATGAAACAATGAATTAATAACAGAAATGAAGGAATAAAGCTGGTTGAAGCAAATTTGTCCACATTGGCAAATGATTTCTAATTAATGGAAATATTGTTTGCAACGATTGACATTTGCTTTTGTTTTGATAAATTTCTATATCAAAATCAAATGTTTGGTCACATGATCTGTACTGAAAGGAATTAATTGGGTAAAAATCTCCAATAAGGAATTAAAGTCTGGACATCTTTTATTTGAGCAAATAGTTTCTCTGTGCAATTATCTGAAAAATATTTTATATATTTGCAAAAACAAACATTATTAATTTACAATACATGATATGCCCTCTTATGTACTTTTGGTATAATAAACTCTTCCAGAAAAATGAGCAATAGCGCTCATAACCTTCTCAAACCTGTTATTTTCTCAATAATTCACAACTTTACAAACTTACAGGATAACAGGCATTTATAGCATCTAGAATTATTTTTTTTGTAAACAAAATAAAAGCAATAACTTACAGAATCCTCTGCCAATGAGACCCTACAAAGTTCTGCCAAAATCAGAAAAATATTAACGTGTTAATATCAAACACTTGATTTAAAGATGAATGAAAACGTAGAAGTTCGACAAGGTGAGTAATGATAAACATGCTGACCTTCTGCTTGCCGTAGTGTGTTGAAGGCCTCCGTCAGCTGTCCTTGACCAATCAGAGTGCAGGCAGTGTTGTAACAGAGCTCATATGTCGACTCAGAAAGTCCCAGATCCTCCTACAAAGAAAAAAAGATTGACTAGATCAGTTTTTTAAAAAGAACAATAATAAAAATCACACTCATGCAATTTAAAGTTCTGATCTCAGCAACAACACTCAGTTTATTGTGAATTTTTGGGTGTTTAATTTAGTTCTGACCATTGATGAGCATTTAGTGTTCAGCTTTTATCACAGATAAATGAATATAAAACAAATAATAAGTTTATTCACTCAATTTTACAAATTTCATAAATAATTTACAAATTCACTATCTTACAACAATGCTCCAGTGAGCAGAAAAAAGAAAAGTTTTGCATGAGCCCTTTCTCAATATTTACAAAATAAAATTTCACATTAAGTTAACAATATAAGTTGCAAACCGTATATCATTCCCTCCATTGTTGACTCAAAAGTTTATAAGACCTTATTATTTTTTCTTATAAAGTGTTTTGAATTGGCTCATAGTACAGCATTTGTTCAACTTCTCATTCAAACTATTCCATAATTTCACTCCACTACATAATTGTTTTAAGGTAGTACACACAGTTTTATTTTTCAAATCATACCTCCTCTTATTTCTGTCATTTGAGTTTAAGACAAATAACTTCTGTAAATGAATTGGCAACAATCTCTTTAACCAAATCTCTTAGTTTCAAGATATTTGATTGAATAAACAACAGATATGTTCTCCATTATTCACTTTATATAGCATTCTCATAGCTTTGTCTTGTGTCACAAACACAATAAAACATAAATAAAATATAAACTGAGAAAAGAAAGCTGAACTAATCAAATATGAAAAAAAGTTTCTAAAAATATTGAACCCATCAAAAATGTGATCTTTGTATGTGTTTGAGCATTACCATCGGCGCCTTCTCCCACTGACTCATCGCAGCCACGACTGCAGCCAGGTTGGTCTTTCTCTCCTCCTCATATTCATCCTGAGAGTTTCTGATCAGGTTTGTGTAGATAGTCTTGCACTCATCGTAGCGCTCCAGTCTGTACAGCTACACAAAGAGAAGAGCTCAGATCATCTGACACACTAATAGCATCTGAACAGGAAAAATGAAGCCACAGTGTACCAGGAAAAGTCATTACACTCAACAATAAAAGCTTACTCTCTGTCTCCAGGACACCATTACTGAGATTTAGTAGAAAGTCAAACCAGAACATTAGTGAGTGTAATTTTGTGTATTTATAATGATGCATATCAGAAATACAAACTACATGAACAATAATAAGTACAATTTTCTCCTAAAAAGACAACAGTAGAAATATTAAACAGTCTCACCACTTGACCATAAAGTTCCTTCAGCTTGTCTGTCTGGTCAGGAGCATTTTCAATGGTCTTCAATGCACTTTCCACTCTGTTCAGCCGATACTCACAGTACGCCTTCTCAAATACAACCTCACTGATATATAAAAGAAAAAGAAAAAAGGGAGACAATTACACTTCCCAGATTCAAAATCTCAATTTAAATACCCATTTTAATCAAACAGTTTCTTTTTTTGTTCCACAAACTGAAGGTTTTAGTGATTATTTTTTTTAAGTATCACAAAACAATTCTTTTTATTAATTGCTATGAACCGATTATTGAAATAATCGCCAACAAATGCAGTAATTAATTAATCATTAAATGGAGCACCCAGACTCAGAAAAGTAAATTTGCTGAAATTACATTATCAGAGCAATAATTAAGCCAAAACTGTACAAAATATATTTATATTTTGCTCTTAAGATATAAAACAAACCCTGTCTGTAAATATATTATGCTCCTCAAGTGACATGGTTCAAATTATGCATGAGAAAGATCTCAGATTAAGTACCTTTTGCTATCAAATTATTAATCAGTTAATTGAAAATATATTCCACAGATTAGTCCTACACTGTACTGATGTTGAGAACAGTGGGATGAGCGTTTCATGTTGAAGTATTTTTAACTGGAGCTATAAAAGGACAAGTGTGGAAAAAAACAAATTTTTATTCCGTTTAAATTAATATAATATTTATTTGCATTTTTTATTGTATTTCTAATATTGTATAAAACAGGCTTAAGTGTTTAGATGAAAAATCTGCAGGATGTGCCAATACATTTTTAAATCAATAGAACACTAAAACAATTGTTAGTTGCAGCCCCATGTGAAACAAAAACAATTTAATATTTTGTTAGTTGTTTACCTCCCAAGCACTTTGGTGTGAGTGTTCATGACGTTCAGAGCCTCCTTGAAGCTCCCATTCTGAACAAGGCAAACAATTTTACAGTGAAGGGCTGTCACATCGTCCCTGTTCTCATGCAGAACTATAGCAGAGGCAGAGAAAAGAAAATAAGTTATTAAATAACTAGTGATGGACAGCTACGAACATTACATCACAACAACATAATATTACTATTCTGAAGACCTGATTAATAATTATAAGTGCACTAATCTTTCTATTTTTCAATTTATTTACTATTACGTGATATAAGAAGTATGTATTATATTGATGCAATGCAGTATCACTTGTTTTTTGCTACTTATTCAAAACAACAAAATGTCAGTGTTGAATATGCATATGTGTGTTTATTATTTTAGTTTTTACAGATCCGACTTTGACTTGAAATCAAAGTTGACGTGGTAATGAACTCTTAGCTCCACAGCAGGTCAGGGTAGGGACACGTCATTGGTCAGAATACACCGGTGCAAAATCTAGTGAGAAAATTGAACTCACCAGTGACCTGACATGATACACAACACACCTTCCTCGTCTGTTTTATAAACTAACACACTGAGGTTATCAAACAACAAAAAATAAAAAGCTGTGTCTCTCTTTACAGAGTTGACAGATTTAGCTTAGCAACATGCTAATAAGGAACAATGATCCCCAGTACAGTATGTCGCTAACAGCGACCGCGGCTCGGGTTTTAAAGACGGCCCTGTCAGGAATCGACACTTACTCTTAGAAAGCGCCTTCAGAGCTCGCGTGTAGTCGCCATTCTGTCCGCAGCGGTTCACTTCGGTCCACAGCGAAGCCACGGACACCCCTCCACTCGCCATCTTTGCTGAATGGACCGACAAGGTAGGCGGAAGTATAATGTGTTGCTTCCGGGCTAGAAAGCAAGTATTTAAAAAAAATAAATAAAATTACATTTACACATTAAAGAACGAACATAATACATCCCTGATATTTGAAGCAGGTTCATTTTGGTGAAGCAAATAGCATTTTTCTTCAACATTTTTTATTTGAAATTGTCGCAGTCACCTGACGCCTTCATAGCCACCGATTAAAATGGGATTACACATTTCAGAATGTGAAAACAGACAGCAGGCCGAGCTGTCTTTCAAACAGGGAGTTCCAAATGTGAACTTTTAATGTTCAGCTCTTGACTCAAGAGGCAGAACAAAAAGGCTTGTTTAAACAACGAGCCTTTGAGTTTAAACACTGTCATAAACATGAGATAACATTACACTGTGTCATGACAGTCTTATTCACAACAAAAGCTAACTACGTAGAGCTGGCATATCATATCACATTAAAGTTTGTAGTCACAATGTAGAAAAAATATATGAATAAGAACAAAAGGTAAATAGTTTTTCAACACATTGTATAATTAGTGAATTCCAGTCAGGTGCAGGTGTTTGCACTTTTAAATTACTTTAAAAAATTACAGTAACTCAGTGAAGCTACTCAAGCAAAATTAAAAAAGTACAGTGCAGTTTAACTACTGCTACAAGTATTTTCTCCCCAAAGTTACTACCTATGTGTAATAATATATTTGTATTTAAATTAAATTTAATATGCGTGAGATACATAAGACAAATGTGTAATTGTGGACTTAAGTGTGCTACTGGACCTTGTTAGACTGAATATTTCTTTAAAAAGTGTAGTTACATTTACGAATGAAGAGGTCGATCCGCTAGAGTGAAAATAAAATTATGTGAAAATGGAAAATTCCGATTGTAACAGTAACACGCGAAAGCCCCATATTCGGAACTCCTCATCCGTAGAGGAGGGGAGGAGAGGGAGGTGAAGAAGAGGGGGTACTGTTGTCATCCGTCAGGGCAGTGTGTCGAGCTTTTGTCCAGGAGAAATGGCCGGGATCAAAGGTATAAAAAACGTCCCAGCTTTCCTTGACGATTCTTTTTTATTTAAATGGAAGCGGCTTTAAAATGCGCAGGAGAAGAGTGATGCGTTTAAAACAGCCATCCAGCTAACAGAGGGTGAATATTAGCAACGGTCCCGCCGTTCACTGAATCTAGCTGAATCACCCGCAGTGCTTTTAAGCGTCTGTTTTTCAGCTTCCATGGTTGTTAATATATAGTAAATAACGTGTAACATCGCAGTTAATGTCGCTCTTGTTAGCCCCGTGTTTTTCCCTGAGCTGCTCTTGTTGCTAATTTCGTTGCTCGGATTAACGGCTGTTGTTAGCCAGCAGCTCCTAATAGCAAGGCAAGCCGCTCCACGTGAAATCAGCCGGACCATCACATGATAAGCCTCGGTCCTCAGCCGGTTCTGTGGTGGTACTGTGACGCTAACTGAGTCTGAAATTCTCTGCCTCTCTTACAGCTCTCATCAGCCTCTCTTTCGGAGGGGCCATCGGCCTCATGTTCCTCATGCTTGGATGTGCCCTACCAGTATATGAGTGAGTACAACCATCACACACTGTTAGGATGCATTGAAATCAATGTGTGATCCCAGTGCAGCCTTTAACGAGGGTCAGGGTTCATACGCAGCCTGGAAAAGTATTGATTTTGTTAGGGTGACCAGATTTTGATTTCCAAGTGAAGTAGCAACAGTCCTGAAAACACTTCAATCCTACTCTGTTTACTTAATTAGACTTTTGATTGTTGCATATTTAAAGTGTTCCTTCTGTATGTGGTTAGAAAAAATACTTAAATACATTTCACAAGTCAAAAAATCACTATAAGATATCTTGATATAAATGATAATAGAAATAATGCATTAGAAAAGTAATATGTAACAATAGGTAACTTTTTCAGTCATACGCAACAAAATTTACGCACAAAAAATTATCTGTAATAATATGATATCACACAGTCAATCAATCAGTTCAATAGATGAACTCTCACGCAATTGTTTTATAGTTTTTGTGGAAATGTCCTCCGGATGCATTTAGAGGACATTTAGTCTCAAAATTTTGATTTCACATTTTCCATGTCTGAATGGACAAATATATTTATGTCCAGACTATTCACTATTCCATTGTCTAAAAGTTTTGTCCTTCCTTTATGCAATTCTTCCTCCATTAAAGCCTTCTTTGTTTCCTTCCTATAATCCTACCTTTCTTCCTTCTTTGTGTCCTCTTAATTCTTCCTTTCTCATGTCTCTGTTCTTCACTCCCTCATTGCATTTTCTCTTTCCTGTCTCTCTTCCTCATCGCTTTGCTTCTGTCCCTCCTTTTGTTTTTCCATTAGTTTTCAGTCTTTCTTCTTTCTTTCCTTTGTACATTCTTTCAATCTCTCTTCTATCCTGTCTGCCGTTGTTTCTTTTTTGTCTTTTCCATATCTTACTTGTGTTCTTCATTCTTTCCTTAATTTCTTTCTCCTTTCTGATTCTCTTTGTTCTGATATTTGTTTTTCCATTGTTTCTACCTTTATCCTTTCTTGTTCTGCTTCCCTTTTTTCTGTCCTTTTATATTTCCTTCCTTCTGTCTATCAGTCCTTCCCTTCCTTTTGTCTTTTTTGCTAATCATCTCTTCTTTCATTCTGGTTTTTGCTGTGCTATATGCAAAATCTGCACACTCTGAAAACATGTGCCACAAACTAATTATGAATGTTGGTATTTCATATTTTAAAGTGATCATAAAGGACTAAAAAGTCTCGAAAATTGAGTTTACAGGAAAAATGGGCAGAAGCCCTGGAGGTTGCAGTTCCAAGGACAGATCACAGAACACATTTTTAAAGATGTTCCTGCAATAAAGCATTTACTGCAGATCTGTGCAATATTATAAATAGACGCACATCTCAGTAATTCAATCTGTTTGCTGTTTGCTAGAGAATAATAAGAAAAAGCCTTTCTCTTTTCATCTAGCAGTAGTAGAAGGGTGGACTTGAGGATTTTCTTTTTTTTTTTTTCTGAAGAGTTTTTGCGGTGCTAGTGGGTCGTATTTTTGATAGAAGGCAGACAGGAAAGAGGGCGAGGAGAGGGGGAAGACATGCAGCAAGGGTCACCAGCACCGGGAGTTGAACCCGCAATGTCCGCGTCGAAGACAGGGGCCTCCAAGCGTGGGAAGTGCTAACCCCCTGCGCCACCACAGCACACCCCGACTTGAGGATTTTCAGCAAGCTGTCCCGACATGATCTGGATAGCAAACCAAACTTGACGTCTGATTCTGAGAAATAGTTACACAAAACATGTACTGATGAAACTCTTATCAACACTCCATTTCTTAACAGAGGAAGTTAAAATATACTAATGAGGGCAAAATCCTGGTAATTCAATCTCTGACCTGCATCACCACAACGTGTGTATTTATGTCTCCTTCATTTGTCCCGCTTCCTTTTTTTATGCAGCAAATACTGGCCTTTGTTCCTCCTCTTCTTCTACATCCTCTCGCCCATCCCTTACTGCATCTCGCGGCGGGTGGTTGATGACACAGACTCTGCCAGCAACGCCTGCAAAGAGCTGGCCATCTTCCTCACGACGGGCATCGTCATCTCAGCCTTTGGCCTGCCCATTGTTTTTGCTAGAGCTGAAGTGGTAAGTCATGAAGACTTAGTTGTTACTAAATGTTTTTATGTTGGTTTTCTTCCAGAGATAAACCTTACAGGTGACCTGTTGTGCTTATTTGATAATGGGCTACACAAAACATGTTCATTACATTTTTTGTACAAAATAAGTCTTTGACAGTGAGATTTTTGTCTGTTCACTTCTGTCTATTTTTTAAGGATTTTAGTTGATACAGCGATACAAAGTACAAATAGTAAAGTGGAAAGAAAATGGTTCTCAACATAATTTTAAAGATGACCTATTATGCTTTCTTAAACAGGTTAGGATTAGTCTATGGGCTATAAAAGCATGTTCATTAATTTTAATGATTAAATCAGTTCTAGTTCCTTTCAGAAGGATCTATAAATGGCATCTTGTCACTTTGAAATCCAATAAGCTGCTGCTGGCCACGCCCCCAACTCAACATTTACACTTGCACATAAAAATGGATCCTAGCAGATATGCAATTATACAACCATGCAGAAGTAGAAAAGCAGAAGTAGAGCCTCCTGCGCAACCAATATGAACGCAACAAGTTGTTTTTGCATGGTAAGTCAACAACAAATCACTTGGTTGTACAGACCATACAGCGGTTAAAGTAGCTGACCAAATGTGCTGGAGCTCACCTTGGGTTTCAAGGTAACCCACTGGGCTTTGATGAGGCTTCTGAGTAACTGTGCAGTACCTGCTGATTTGTGACCTTACATTCTGAAGGTTTTTTACACGGCTCATTTTCCAGACACCAAAAAACAGCAACTTATTGCCAAAAACAAAAACCATCTGGGTGTCATTTAAGTTCTTGAAATGTTTATAGAAGCAGTGGAAACCAAATGGAACCATAAACTCTCCAAAATGTCAAATTTGCATTTAGTTCAGGTAGGCACTCCTCACATTAAAGTATTGGAAGTACAAAAATGTTCAAAGGGTGAATTTTGCATCGTAAATCCCTAAAATGTTTTTGTTGATACTTCTGTTTAGATGCTCTGCTGGTATGTCCTGAATTGTGAATGCGCTGGTTTTTTGCAGATCGCCTGGGGGGCGTGCGCGCTCGTGTCAACAGGTAATGTAGTCATCTTCGGGACCATCCTGGGCTTCTTCCTGGTCTTCGGCTCCAACGACGACTTCAGTTGGCAGCAGTGGTAAAACGGCCAAATGAAGGAGAGCGGCAGGGAAGGGGGACCTTAGTCTGAACTGTTTTTATTAGTATTACAATTATTATTATTATTAAAGTATTACTGTTTGGTTGTTGTTGTTATTCATATGATGACCACCCATCCATAGACTTACACCAGACCAGTGCAATACTTTTTTTTTAAACTACCTGCTCTATGTTGAACTGACACAAGAAGATGGAAAATACTGACTTGTACTATGATTTTATTTATAAAATTTTTTTTTTAGATTTTGCTCTCAAATAACGACAAGATTTCTTCATGTCGTTATTTGACCTACTGCTTGAGTCATAAAGAGCAACATGGCAAGTTGCCATTGGTATTGCCATTGGTATTAATGGGTGACATTTTGCTAAAATAGCGCAGATTTTGACATCTTCTGTAAATGTAAAGTGACCTACATTACGCTTCGACACTTGGTGAGAACCTGACTGTCAGGGCAGGAATTAATAATCAGCGTCTTTTGAAGAAGTTATATGTTGCTTATCCTTTTCTCTTGGGTTCAGGCTTGTATCTGCACAAATGTTCTCTCCTTCATTTGGCTCAGACACCAAGGAAAAAGAAAACAATACTCTTTTTTCTAATTGTCATGGAAAAACATTTCAGAGGATTGTTTTAATGCAATATGCAGGAATCAGCAGATATTCAGTAATGGCATTAAAGATAAAATAATGACTAACAATTCATTTCCCTACCTGCTGAACATTATGCTCGCAAACACACTCATTACTTTTGAAATCTGCCACATGTTTTGAAAGTCAACAGAAATTTTACATTTCATACTTTTTAGATATTAATTTATTCTGCCTCTAAAACATGACGACATATGACATTTAAACCTTTTTTGATTAGCAAATAGCACCAGGAGAAAGAACAGCAGGCTGGCATGCACCCAGACATCAGATTTTATTACCATCTTAGCATCAATTTGCTCTGATTATACTCTGTGTGGGACATCTGCACTGTAATGCCCAGAAAGCAAGAAAGGCTTGCTTTTTCAGCAGCTAGCTTGGCTTCAGGACAGCAGCACTGTTAGAAAGACCAACAGTCTTTAAACTTTGCAATCCGACTCCTTGATCGTATCAATGAACCAGCATATGTGTTAATTTAGTATATTTGCTTCGTTTCCATGATAAAAACTCCAGCACATTCACTGCTTTAACTCTGAAGGTTGTCTCTGAGGTTTATGACATTTTGCTCTAGCATGCAGCTTGCGGCTGTTAAACTGCTTTCGGATCTAAACATGGAGTTAAGCTGCAGCCTGAACACAGCTTTTCTCTGAGGGGAAGGTTTAGATCTTCAAGTTGCATCGATTATTTACCGTTCCTCATTTTGTGTCGAGCCCTGATGATGCCTCTTCCTCTGGCAGATTCCCAGACTTTTTGTCTCACAATCACAGATTGTGCTTCAGACTTAATACAATTTTTTCTAAAAATGTACACAATGTTCTTCGTAGCAACTCAAAATCACAAAATTACCACAAAAGTCAGACAATGTATGGAGGAGTTTCTGTTAAATAATAAAATTTTTAATTCCTCTGACCCCAACTTGACACTTCATAAAGTGTGTTCAGATTAAATAGATTTAAAATGTGCTGAATGATTTTAGTGGTCGCCAACATAATAGATCTGTCAGCAGATTTTAATTATTCTTTCTAAAAATTCTAAACGATCAGAAATTCTGAAATAGTTATCAGACTTAGAGATTTATATAGAACTAGTTAAAACAGCACAAAATCTAAAAACTGTAAAGATAAATATCAGTGTTAATTGTTCTTTGAGCTCGAATCTGTCAATTCAGATTTTGTTTCCTAAAACACATCAAAGAGAAAAGGTGTGCTGCAGTTTGGTCGATAATCATTTTGAAAACATCATAGTTGATGTTTTCAAAGTAATTTCTGGTTGTGGATTGAATCGTATGTTCCTAACATTCATCTGATGTTTTTTTTTTTATTTCTTAAAGTAAGATAACTGCATCAAATTTCATGGTGGTGATTGATGCATTTATTTAACAAAAATGGTCAAAGTTCTTAGTTTTACATAGAAAATCTATCACAGGAAAACTGTCTAATTTTTAATTGGCTGTCATTAAAATATATTAAAATGTTGACTGAAAGTTTTAAAGATGACTCCCTAAAAGTCAACCTCCAATAATCACAAATTCACCAAACATTCGGACTTCTGTCATTTAATTCTTAAGGCCAATGCCTTCCTCAGTAGGCTGAGGGAATAAAATTATAGCTTTTGTTTCTTATTCTGTGCAGAATGTTTTTTTATGCATACTGTCTGAAAAATATGAGATGGATGTGCTGCAGAAGTATAAAATATCTTTATTCCTATTCTTTCAGCCTCAAGTAAAATAACAAATTCCTCTATTCTTGCAGAGAATGTATTGGTTTTTAGATCGTCTCTTCTTGTCAGTAGATAAAAAACTGTTGCTGCATCGTTCCACTGTCTCTCTCTTCGGGGTTTTATTTGCGTTCTAAAACAACAGGGTTAAAATTTTCCTTGAGGTTAAATCTTTAATCATTGAGTTAAAGTAAATTTTAGCAACCAATCCACTTTTCTCAGATCAAATTAAGGAGAACATGAGTTTGTTTTACATAGTTTTTTTCTTAATTTTTTTTTATCAGAAATGCACTGATCAGGATTTTATTGACTGATAACAGTTTTTGTTTTCTTTTGTTCCAAACTGCCAATTCAAATTTTTGTACTGTAAAACCTCAAATGTGTAAGTTTTTATTTTATAATGAAAAGCTTTCATTGATAAACTTTTGACTAAATTAAAAACAAAGCGCATCAATGTTCACTGATGCATTTACAGATCCATAAAATTGGGATTTTTGATTCATTCAGTGAAGAAGGCCAGGATGAATCAACCAGTTTCAGTCAAAACTAGTTTTTACAGAAATCAAAATATGATTGACCAAAAACATTTAGGCTTCATTTTCAGAACTGCTAATTAAAATGTATTGCTTTTTTCAAAGGAATTGGTCATATTAAAAGCTTCACTTCACACAATCTTAATAGTTTCTCTTAAAAACATTCAATAAAAAAAAAAAGCTGCTACTGACTTTTATGTGACTATAACAATGTTTGGTTGTATGCAAGTCCATCTGCTGGGCGACCTCCAGAGGTGTGAACATCTGTGTGTTTCCAGTTTTAAGCTCAATAAGTTAAATGTTCTCAAGTTTATTTTGTTTCATAGTCTGCTGTGAAAGCCCTTTGATGTGACAGAGGCTGGTGTGAAGTTCTGGGATGGGTTTCTGTGTTTCTCTGTTTGTTTCTGTTGCTCATAATGATGAGAGGATATTGTATTTATTTATTTTGTCGAGTCAACGTTTGGTTCCTTTTTTTTATCTACAACGCTTGTGTTGAAAGAACGACGGTCAGCATGGTGATTTCCTTTTCTCCTTTTTTATTTTTAATAAATGCCATTTTTGAACATCCGTTCTGTTGAATGACTAATAATGCGTCCAACTTTGCAGCATTTATTACTAAGAAATCTGAAAATCCGACTAAATATACCCTCCATCACACAAGATTTCAGATGCGCTACATTCAATCACATTTTGTGACACAGAAGGCTATAAGCATTTTCTGAAAGGATTTAGGAAAAGACTGATCAACAATTTTGATTTGCTCATTCTTTAATGGAATCTTAAAGGAAAAAGTCATTAGTTTACTGATATAGACACAGAAACTGGATAGCTGCCTAGTTTTCATGCTCTAACCACAGACTGCTTGCCATATTTTACCAAAGTTCATTACTTCGTTTAGAGGGATAGATTTTAGATTTCTTATTGTTTCAAAGCTTGTCATCAAAAATAATTTCTAAATCGCTACAGATACTTTGCAGCTGAGGCACCCATTCACATTTGAGACAGGTGTGTTGGAGCCTTTAGATGAGTGATATTAAACTTTACATTGCAAGAGTCAAGTGGCAATTATATTAAAAAGCCTATTAATTTCACCCAAAAAGGTACATGACAGTGAAACGTAAGCAATAGTAATGAAGTTAAGTTTCTCATTGAATGAGTTTTGTCTTCCTCTGCCTGCAGAAAGTAGGAATTACACAAGGCATTCAGCGTCAAATCCTTTCCAGACACTTTAAATTTTAAGTTATTGTGATTTCATGAATTTGTTAAACTTTATCAAACCAAAACTAAATTATGACTACAAATCTAAAACCTAACTACTCATGTAAATTGAAATAATGAACTTTTTATGCTGGTAAATGTAGTTTTTCTGTGAATATGCCACAGCCTATATGCAGAGATTCAGTTATGTAGCTTTATCAATAAATATAGATAAATATATTGCAAAGTTTGTGAACTTCACAAAAGAAAATTAAGAAATGTAGGGACCTAAAGCATCACATTCAAACAAATAAATAAGTTTTCTAATAAATATTTATGTTTTATGTTAAAATGTTGAAATAAATAAAAAAAAATCTATAAATATGTCCATAATCTGTTAAACACCTGGATGTAAAAAGTATATGTAATATGTGATCTTCTTATGTTAAAATCATGCATTATTTCAGTATTTGTTTTATTAATATTTTCTGTTTCCCCTCAAAATTATGTTTTATAAAAAATAATACACCTTTAAATAATTATGCATGGAGGCATTACTTTATTGCAGGTTTAATTTATTGCTTTTATATTATGTTACATTTTTCAGGAAATTTAAATGTTAAGTTTTTCTTATCCTTAAGCAATAAATCATCAAAATGAACATAAATAACCACTTTGAGAATTTAACTATGAGGATGCAATTATTCTTTGTGATTTATGAGTTTCTCTTAATTACTGAGAAAAATAGTTTTCAATGCGATTCAGTATTCAGTCAAATGACGACCATTAATCCTGAATAAAAATGAATTTTTTGTCCATAGACTACAAAAAAGTATAGAAAAATGAAACATTTCTCTCATTTTGAACTTATTTATTAATTGACTGATCAGGATTTTCTCTATGTTTTCTCAGAAAAATCCAAAATCTCCACATTTTCTCATTGTAAAGACCAGGTATTGAAGTGAGTAAGTGCCAGAAGGTTAAACCATTCCAAGAAATGTTCTCCCCGACTGCAGATAACATGAATTTTTGTAACGGAGACATATTTTAGTGGCAGTAAGGTATGAAATATTTACATCAGGGCTTGAAATATAGCAAAACATCTGCTGCTAAAATGGTGAAAAAAATAACCAAATCTCAAGTTTTTCTACAATGTTACACAACAATGATACATTTTTAATCTTTTTTTAAGGATAGGTTTAGTTTTTTTTTGTTCAATCCCATATGAAGCTCTGACCTGAGGCTGCAGCTTTCAAACCTGCTGCTAGTCACAACTTGCCCCACTCTTTCAGCCCTTTCTCAGCCCGGGGCAACAGTTTCTCCACAGATTTGCATATAGCTTCAAATCACATCTATAATTGTAAGATTGGAACAAGTGACGGTGTGGCTTTCTTATGATTCCAGCATTAACGGAGACAAAACACAGCGTTTGCAGCAACTCTCCCATTGCATGTATGAGTTACCTTTGAGCTCATCGCTGTGAGGGAGCTAAACACTGCTGGAAATGTGCACACCATGTCCTTCCTTACCACGCGGCACACCCACATCTTGCAACCCGAAAGGATCAGAATGGGAGAGTTTTAGATCTGGAGCAGTCGGGAACGGACAGACAAGCAATGAAGAGGTTTTTCAGAGCCCAGAGGGACGAGGACTACAGTCAGATCCAGTACCTGACCGCCAAATGCACCCGCCTGGCTCATGAAAGGGGTAAGTCATGCAGGTTGGGACTTTCAGATGAAAACTGCCTGCTTAGTTTACTGGATGTAAAGTGTAAACTGCAAAAATACAAAATCTTACCAAGTATTTTTGGTCGAGTTTCTATTGCAAATATCTTAGTACACTTGAAATAAATCACACAAACTTACAAGTAACTTTCAGCAGCAAATTATTGAGTGTTTGAACTCAATAATTTCTTAATATTGGTGGGAAAACATTTGTACATTTTTTTTGACAAAGCGAGATAATCTGTACTTTGTCATCAATAGTAAGAGATTATTTACTTAAAACATATATATAGCTGAGAAGCTGGTTTTTCCTTTTCTTTATTTAAACCAAGTAAACCCCCGCTGAGGTCCAGATCTCATTTTCCGAAATTTGCAACACACTATAACCTGATTACACAAATTAAGAATTTTAAAACAAATTACAAAACAGTTTTAAATGAAATGTTTACCTGTAAAAAGTTTTTCTGTCTGAATTCAAGTGTACTAATATATTTACTCTAGAAACGGGACAAAAATATCTGGTAATATTTTGTGTTTTTTGCAGTGCTTATTTTTCTAAACTATTAGGTGTGTGAGTTATTAATCTTATAAGTGTCTACCTTTACAAAAATAAAACATTTCCACTTTTTATAGCTATAGTATAGCAAATATTAACAAAACACAGAAAATCAGCAATTAAATCCAAACAAAACACAGAAGTAGGTAAATTGCCATCACAAAAGTTTTAATCAGATTTTAAATATTCAAGCCCCTTTATAGCTTTCAATCACTCCATGTTCAAATTCCCTTTTACATCTAAATCATTGACAAAACTTTTTTTTTCATTCTTAACATTGGGAAAGCAATCAATAAGTTACTTATGTGTCAAATTCAGTTTCATTTAGTTGATTCATTTAGTGCCATTTCACAACAAATGTCCTCTCAACACACTTCACAAGAGAAAAAATAGTTTAAATTCAGAAATATATAATTAATTCAATCCTGTTATACAGAAAGATTCAAATGAAGTTACATTTATTCCAATATCATGTAATTGACCCATTGTTTTGCCTTTGACACTGTTTCACACCGTCATGGTGCCACATAAATGGACCATAACAGTTAGCTAAAATTAATCCATTTAGCATTTAACCGATCCAAACAAGGTGAAAAATTATGGTGGCAAATTCAATTCAATGCAAATTGTAAAAAAAGTCATCAGTCTAAAGAAATTGCTAACTTTTCAGGGAATCCCTCTTCCTCAATAAGAATGTGGCAACAGTGAGGCAAGCACCTTATTTTTTCACATTTACATCAACATCTCATTTTATCATCATAAAATGTCAGTGTCTTTGTAAAATGCCTTGAAAACAAACTTGCCGGGTCTTGTCTTGAGCTCCTTTTTAAGAACAATAGAGCTGCTTACTTGCACGACCTTTCAGTGTGTTAAACTGACTGTGGTGTTGTCTTTCGTTGGCTGCAGCAGTGCTGGAAAGAGAATTTCTGGTGTCCAGAGAGAAGGAGAGGAAGCTGCAGAATGAACTGGAAGCTGTGACCTCTCGTCTCCTGCAGCAAGAGCAGCTGAACCTGGAGCTCAGGATAAACCAGGACAGGCTCATCTGCAGGATCCGTCAGCAGCAGGTGGACTCATGAAGTTCTCCCTGATGGAGAATCATTATTAGATGATACAGCATTCATTTTAAAACTTCATACCGAATATTGCCCTGTTTTTTAGGTTTGTTTGGGAGGTCTTTTCTGTTATTGAAACTCAAACGTGTGACCAAGATACAATAAAAGTCTAGATGAACTAAGAAAAACTTTGAGAAAAACATTCACTCTACATGTGGTTGCAGAGATATTTAGTCCCCTTCACACTTGTTGGCATCCCTGGTAAGAAATTAAAGAACCACGTTGCTGTTTTTCTTCAATATGTGAATAGATCATCTGAAAACTTCCTTTTGAGTTCAATTAGGTTATTTGTGTCTCATATTAAAGATAATCTTATGATCTAAAACATATAAGTATGACAAAAAAAAGATGAAACTGAAGAAATCTGCTGTTTTTCAATGAAATTAACTACAAAGTTAATTAAAAGTTCCTTTGAAAGAAAATTTCTCACTGTTTAAGCATAAATCTTTCTTTGAATTTTATGAAATTTCTATTTCATTTTATCACAATAGATTAGAATGTTCATGCAGTAAGATCTTACAATTTCGGTCTCGTTATTTCAAATATCAGTAACATTCTACCAAGCATCAAAGTTTGCACTGAATACAAAACTTTTCGAACCTTGTACCTTGACAAGTGACTATAACCTTCTAAACAAACTCTACATCAGGTTGAGGCTTGTCCCATTCAGTTAGACTTTAAGGCTCTTTTATGCCACTTATTTGATTGGTTGTGATGATATTTTAGTCAAATCTCAGTCTCCACTGAATCAGAATTAAATCTGCTGAATACGCAGCAGGAATGAGTGTTGCTCATGTCCTTCAGTGTCTCCTGCAGAACTTGGTGGACGTCCTGCAGCAACGGATGGAATTGCTTGCAGAGGAGAGTCGTCGGGATGTGGAGCTGCTGCAGCAGGTCAACTCAGAGTTGGTGTGTCTGCAAAGCTCCGAGGTGCAGCTGGAGGGCCTGGTGGAGGAGCTGCATGCTGAGGCCCAGCGTCGAGCAGCTCTGACAGACAGACTGCATGCAGAGTTGTGCAGGTAGATGCATTTCAGCTCCATTTGCTTCTGAAATTTGATTGTAAGCACAGATAAACTTAGGGTGCATTCACACCAGGCTTGTTTAGTCTGCTTTAACCAAACTCTGGTTCCTTTGTTTAGAAATACCAGATTGTTTGGGGAAGTGTCAACGCACAACCAAACTCTGATGAGGACTAAAAAAGCGAACTTTGGTCCGCCTAAAAACTGAGCTCTATGTTCTATGTTGAAGTAAAATCTGGTGCGGTTCAAATTCATGTGTGAACACCAATCAGGCTGGAGACCTCTCCAAAAGCAGGAAATGGACACATCGCAGGGCATTCTGTGTAAATACAACCAAGTCGAGAGTAATGACTAGTGGTCTTCTGCCAAAGACAACAGAGAAATCCTACAGTCTCTATAATCTGACACTACTCCATTTACATTTCACAAAGAAAGAAGACATTCTCATGTCTCCTTCTGATGTTTATGTGTTGTTTCCTTCAGAGGTTGTTGGTGCAGCGCCCCCACAGGCGAGGAGATGAACAGGTTTTTCAAGGGGTTTGGTTGGTTTGACAGTGCAGTGTGAAAGTGAACCACAGCATCTGGTTCAAACGTCCCCAGTTGAACCGAGTCTTCTGGATTAAGGGATGATGAAAACACCCTTAATCACCTTTGTTCTAATTTATAATCACTTTTACACCAGAGTTTATTACAGGAGAGCTAAGATAGAGAAAGCTGCTATTTTGTTTTTAGAAAAGTACATTTGGCCCTCTTTTATATATTCTACAGTACTTCAATCATTTCATTACTGTTCATCCAAATATTGAAATTCTACAGCTCGATTCCAGCACATTCCTGTGTGTCTCTCCAGCTGTTTTAACTAAACAAGATCAAACAGCTGGAGAAAAAAAAACATCAGTTTAGTGAAAACTGAAACTGAATCAAGCTGTAAATCAGCTACCCTGAAAAACGACAGGCTTCAAAACACTCTTTAATTTTCAAATGAATTAAAACAAACTATAAAATGTAAGAAATGTAAGAAAACATAGCTGTCATTTGCTTTGTCTAATTAAATCCTGCAGTTTGTATCACATTTTTTTAATAGCATGATATTTTTGGGATTACAGATGAAAGAGACACTATCATCTGCAAAAGGTTTAATGTTTAGATTTATTTTTGCTTTTAATTATGCATTGTGATTCTTAAATCCCTAGCTGGAGCGTGTTATTCCCAGACTGTGTGTGTTACAGGTGCACTGTCAGAAATGTGTTTGTAACACTTTGCAGTTTCTGACTTGTCTTTTTTGCCTTTTTTTTAATTTTATTTAACCAGAAAAGTTGAGGTGCAGTATCTCTCCTGCCACGAAGTTCTGGTTAAGAATTTAATGTACAAGTAATTTGATTAAAAACACAACAAAACATTAATTAAAAACCTTGATTGATGTCAAGATGTTGAGGCTTTATTTCGACTTCAGGGTTTTTTGTTTTCTTTTTTTTTAATTCGACCTCATGTTGCTCTGATTGCAGCTTCTTTGCTTATACTGATACTTTGGAAAATAAATCAACAACTACATAAGTCACAGTATATATGTGATCGATATCAAAAAGTAACACATTTCATATTATATTCAATTATTTCAATGAACAGTGATCAAGAATTGCACAGCATTCTGGGAGATGTTGGCAGAGGACAGGCTGTAGCTGCAATACCTGGTCAATAACCTGTTGAGTAACATGCGCCTCATACCTGCTTAAAAACTAAAAAAACCAACGGCATGGAATGAAAACTCTGGATGAATCAGAAGAGGTTACACCAAATACGTTTCACAGTATTTCAGATATTTCAAACAAAAAGCAAATAAATAATTATCAATGTCGACTGATATGAGACAATTTTATTATAATACGTTTTGCAGCCAAATTATCCAGCCCTAAGAAAAACATTTACATGTGCATGTTAAATGTAATTTATTTTTTCTTTGTATTCAAATGAAAACAAGAAGCGTGGGTACCACAGCTGAAAAACAAACGTATCTGTGTTTTGTGGTTGCTATGAACAGTAAGCTGGTGCAGCTGAAAGAAATGCAGGAAACCAACAACGGTCTGACAGAAGAGCTGAAGGATCTCCGTAAAACTCATCTGGAGGAGGTGAGATCCTTTCTGCACATCTTTCTAAATAACAGTGAAGCTTCCCCCCAAACAAGTCTTTGTCTTTGACAACAAAATCTGAAGAAATGATTCTTAGAGGAAGACTAGGAGTCTTTACACACCGCAAAACCATGAAATCCTACCAAGTATTTTTAATATAATTTCTAGTGCAGACATTTTAATACACTTGAAATAGGACTAAACTAGTTTACAAGTGACAAAGTTAACAATTTCTTAAAACTGTCAAATATTTCACTTATAACAAGATTTTCCCCATGTCATAAGTGAAATGATCTGTCAATGGAACAAATACTTTTAAAAATTAATACTAAGAAATTTTTAACTTAAAACTACCTGATGTATCTTAAAAGTCACTTGCAATTTAGTTTTGTCTTCAAGTGCACCAATATTCTCACTAGAAACTAAACAGTAAACTAAACTAAGATTTTGTATTTTTGCAGTGCATTGAGATTCAATAGTTTACTGTATGAACAAAACCACTTTTTGTGAAAAAAGAGTTGCAATGCCATTCTTGTCCACCAGATGTCACAATAGGGACACGTTGTTCAACATGAAACAATCAGTAATTAGCAGAACTTTAACAGTTTTACAGTTTATTTAGACTTTTTTATGGAGGAAGTAATTATAATGAAACCTGTATGCTTAGGACTCAAATTTATACCACAGACATAAATATATATTTTTTATGTCAACTTACCAGACTTTACTGGTGTTGGGTTTGTTCTAGCGCATCTGTACATTTGTGGATCACAGAGATTTATGGTTTTTCTTATTTACTGTGAGCTTCAAAGACCGGCCCCCGTGTTGGCCTCGGTTTCCACCAGTCCATCAAGCAGCAAACAATCCGGTTATGTAATTAACTTTCTTTGAGACATCTGCAGATGGCCAGGAGAACAGCGGAGCAGACCGCAGAGTCAGTGAAAACTTAATGAGATCATTTATTAGCAAGGGATCCAGAGAGGGAAATATTGCAAAAGCCCTGGGAATTGGAGATTATGTCAGACTCTGCCGCTCTCACTCATTTTTCTGCATGACAAGTCGTTATTCTAATCTATATTTGCAGTTTGCAATAATCACTGCTTCCTGAGTTTATTGTTTTTATCACATGCTGGTATCAGGGGGAAATAAAAATGATCACATTTATTTATTTAAAATGTATTTTAAAGGTGAAGGAACTGCAGCAGGAGAATAAAGGGAGCCTGAGTAAGTTGCAGGAGACGGCAGAGCAGTTCGAGTGGCTCTGTCAGCAACAGAAGTACTGGATGCGTTGTGTGAAAAGGTGGGATTGTTTACATGAATAAAACAAACAAGGCAACACAGTTAAAACATGATTATTTCCAATATCAGTTCACACGTTATATTATTTGTATATAAAGTAAAAAACATCTGTTGGGCAAACACATGGTTTAGTTTGTTTAAAGACTAAAGGTCTTGACAACACATTATGCTGCAAAAACACATGCTAACAATGTGCAGATTTAGAGAAACATTACTGACTAAATCCTCCTATTTCCTTCAGATTGTTATTAATTTCACTGTGTTCCTTCTTAACTTTCCCAAACCTCTGAAAATAAATCCATTCCTCTGAGCTGGGAGTTGGGCAGCGCTCTCCTGGCTAATAAAAGCAGAAACCTGCTGCCTGTAAACAAAATTAATGACAGCGGAGAGGGCAAACCGCAACAATGAAGGAGCCGGAGAGAAACAAAGTCAAGTTCCTGGGCTTTAAAGGCACATTTAAAAAATTGGAATATGTGAAGCACAGATAAAGCTTTTCATGTAATTTGTCAAACATGTTTCATAAATATTAAGAGCTCCCATAAATTTCTGTGACACGATACAATCTTTGGTTTATTGCAAGTTAGAGAAAAACAAGAACGCTAGAACTTTCATGGGACTAAAAGCGCTCTTTCAAATTTTGCTTCTCAAAACTTTCCTGGTACATATAACTTTGCAGAACTTACAGAACATTTTTCTAGAATTTTGTAGAAAATTCCAGATAAAATCTGAAGGATTGGGCTTTATTATGAATTGACTTATAATATCCTACTTTACTGGTACTCCATTGAGTGACTTGTTTCCAGTAACATACGGTGACGTGCATAACTGGTGAGGCACAGACTCCACCAAAGTCGGATGTTCAAATCCAAAATTCAATATAGAAGCTACATTTTAACCATAACTAATTATATCAGCAAGAAAATATAAAATAATATTAAATAAGGTCACATTTTAATGTTACTTTTGGCAGATTTCTCACTTTTCTGATTAAAATTTAAAATTGTGTGTGATGTTACTTTTATGTCTCATCATTGCTGGCATCTGTTTTTGAATGGTCTTATTTTTACTTATCAGGATTACAGGTGCCTCATCTCCCTTGACTGCACATCACTGCTTGTTTCACCAAAAGCAAATCTACATGGAAATAAATAAATAAAAAAAGTTATCTATGCATTCGAGAAAATTGACCTTTTACTTTCTGGAAAGTATGTGCAAATACAATTAATCTGGTCAGTGATCAAAGATTGGTGGATTTATTTATTTTTTGTCTTCCACAGATTCAAAGACTATCTGATGGATGAGAGACAAACTCTCCTGCATCAGCTCAGCACTTTGGAGAAGAAAATTGGGGAACAGAAGAAGAGCTCAGATGATGGCAGTCCAGCACAGAGTCTCCTGCGCCCTCTAGAGGAAGCAGAGAGACCTGGCAGGTGGGTGGATATAAATCCACTAAGCTGTTAAGAAAAAATGCAGTCATTTGTTTCCCTTTAGCCACATCTAAAACCCGTTTTTGTATGCAGTGTAACATCATTGGATACAGACGCGGTGACAGATCTGGATTCCCAGGCGGGAAACTCGAACATGATGTATGAGGAGCTCATTACACAGGTGACCTGAAGATCATACAGTGTTTCTCTATATCATTTCAGGGACTGATCTTGTTCAGTTAAAGTGTTGTTATTTTTTGGGAGAGATTTTTATTCTTTTCATAAGCTAAACAATTTTTCTTAAGTGACACAAAACAGAACTCAGCTGCAGTTTCATGGATTTTTTTAGAGTTAAAGTAAAATCATCTTCAAAAAGCCAGAATTTGAGGAAGAAATGAATAGCTGACACAACAGTTTATATAGACAATGTTGTATCTTTCTTCTCTCAATTACAGCCTGTGAAGTTCACTGATAAAATGGAATAAGTCATATTTACCACTGAAACAAATACAATGAAGCTGACGTATTCATAATGTAATATTTACTTTACTAGTTTATTTTTTATCACAAACGGTCAGAAAACGATAACATGTTTTCCTAGCTTAAATGTTATCTTAACAGAGACACAAGTTGAAGCTAATTTACTTATTTGAATCATTTTCTGAGCTTATAAAATAGTTAAAGCATGTTGTACCTGTAAATACATTGAGTAATATTCAAGTAATAAATTGAGTATTAGCCTTTTTTCTGTGGTTGCTTCAACTTTGCTCCTTAACTTCTGGTTAACAGTTGCAGTCATGTTTGAATTCGATTAAAAACAAATTCAGCCTATGACCTCATTTAACTTTGGACTGATGGTAGTTTGTCATATCTGGACCTAATTAGAATAACCTGGTGTGAACCAAGTTCTCAAAAGATGATTTAAATCAAATCAATAAACTCAACCATCAGAATAGTGAGTTCATTCTGACAGATGTTTTAGTTATTCTAAAAGTGAGCAAACTGAACTTGAATGACCTTTATGTAAAAACAAACTAAAACGCATCATATTTCCACATCATTTCCAACTATCAATGTGTATGGAGAATTTGCAGCAGCTATTGTACACAGGCCAGTCTAATTGTTCCAGATCTTTCAGATTGGTTGAAATTTCAGGGTTGAACCAAAAATTCAGAACATCATTTTTCACTCAGGGTGACTTCCAGTCCCCTGTGGACTTGTATTTCTGCCAAAGTGCTCTTAAAATGAAAACTTAATGGATAACAGAGTCACATAATTGTTTCAGTTTTTTATTTGTCTGTTATTCACTGTAAAATATTTGAGGGTTCAGCTTAAAAGCTGTTTTGCAATTTAGCTGGAAAAAATAAAGTCCAAGAAATTCTTGCAGGAAGTTTCCACAAATCCTGACAGGATCTCAGCACTTCATCCCCCTGCAGGGTTTGATGTTCAAAGGAGTTTTCTGACCGCGATGGGAAAAGCCTTCATATCTTCCTTATGACGGCGTATTATAAAATAAAGTGATAAAATTACACAAATAAAATCATACGAGAATAAAGTCATATGAAATAAAAAAACTAATGCAAAAATACTTTAGTGATCCAAAAGAAAATTAAATAAAGACAAAAATAATGAGGAATAAAGTCATAACAATATGAGAATAAAATCTATATTTTGAAAATATGAAAAAAAGTTAAAAATAATCTGAAACTAAAGTTACAATATGTCAGGTTCAAAGAACCCAAGCACCTACAAAAAGAAGAGAGAGACAAGTGAGTTTTTAGATTTACTAACGGACAGGAGCGCGCTTTAGTTACAATCTCCTACCTGTTCTAAAGCACGCTCTGCTGCACCTTTTCTTTTTATTTCCTTGGGGCGGTCCAAGTTACATAGCTTATTCGGTTATTTTGAGTTACAGGCGTGTTGCACCTAAGTGCCTGTTTAGTAACCGAACCCTTACTAAATTCATTTCATTCTCAGCCAGAATAGTTACCAACATATATATCAATGTCCAGCTTAACATGGACAATGAAATACAGTGATTTTTAATAACAAAGCAAAATAAAATATTCATAGGAAAGAGAATAGAATCATATTTTAATGGAGTGGGGGGAGGGGAGCAGGGTACTTTGATCTAAAGTCTCCAGCAAATGGTCCCTCACATAATGCTAATGTTAACATAACATAACACATAACGCTAATGCTCATGGCTTCCAGAGACGTCAGAGATGGCTGATCTTCTCTTAGCATCACAGTCTCATCGTGCTTTTTCCTTGTCTGTCTGCTGGATGCACTGCTGGATGCACTGCTGGATGCACTGCTGGATGCACTGCTGGATGCGCTGCCCAATCCACTTCCAAAACAGCAAAGAAATGACTAATAATGACTGGAGGAGGCGCTCGCCAAGAGCCTCTGTGCTTCATTCCCCTCACCTCGCTCAGACTCTGTATAGCATTTCTTAGGATAATTATTCTGATCGAGAGCAGATGATGCAGACTGTTTTTCCCCCCTTTCGATTCCTGCAGAGCTGAGCGAGGGCGGAAATTTCTCTGGAGGAGCAGCGACTGACAGAAACACGGAGGAAACAGCCTCGATAAAACACATTACCAGCTCCGACATGATTTATGGAAACCGCAGATTCACATTGTCTGGACATGACAGAAGCTCCTTTCAGACATTTGCTGCTTTATATTAAACTGAACTTGTTGGGGTCATGTTTGAATTACCCTCTGGTGCTTTTCCATAAGATGTCCTCCACATGCAATCACACTTTTTTGGCTCCTGAAAGTGAATATTTTTAAAAACTCCAACCAGGCTGAAGAATTTTGCTGACTCTGACTGTGACAGTTATGTGAGTCCTGATGGTTTTGGTTACCAGTGCCAGATTGTGCAATGCTATCTTTGAGGTCCACTGTCACAATAAGTCCTGGTCTGGCATGCATGGAGCTCAACTGTGTCTGAGAATTGTCAGGCAGACAGATTTGTTTTTAGTAGTAACTGTGCTGTTTGGATTAGACTGAGTCACTTTTCCAAGAACAGCCTCAGATTTAGCTTAATATATATTTTAAGGTTAAGAGGTGCAGTCGAGACATGTTCTTTGAAAGCACATACTCATTTGCAGACCCCCTTCCTCCTTGAGAAGAGCCTTAAAGAGGAACTATTATGCAAACATCACATTTTGGACATTTTTACTCTTCCATTTGGGTTTTTACTGTGTCTAAAACCAGCTCAGGTACTTAAAAACCCACCCAAACTAATTGGTTTTATTATGTTTTCTGGCGTTGAGAATTGTTATGTCACTGTCCTGTTACCTAGCAACCTCACCTGAGCCCAGCCCCATTACCTAGCAACCCAAGTGAAGCACAGCCCATCGCCTAGCAACCAAAGCTGCGCTCCAGCACATTTAATCAGCTTATTTTACTGCTGTACAATGGCTGCTGGAAAAGAGAAGTTTTTTGTTGTTGATTTACCATCCAGAAACCACTTGCTGCCTTCATGTTGGCTGCGCAGGAGGCTCTACTTCTCCTTTTCAAAAATGTACAATTGCATAAATGTGCATCTGTTTGCAGCCAAATGAATCAGGAGACTATAATGCATGCAACATTGTCCAGATTTATATTAGTTAAAAATTAAAATAACTCATTATTTTACTTCTACATAATTATGCGGAAAAAATTGACTGTCTCATAAAATCTCCATAAAATACATTGTAGTTTGTAGTCATGTGTCAAAATGTAGAATATTTTGAAAGTTGTTGCTGTTTAATGTGAATTTTATGGGGTGCTTTCAATGGATAACCCACAATTAATCAATTTTCTTAAATAATTATTATTTATTGGGAGTTTCTGTTGCATCACCAGTTCATATGACCCAAAACATTCATGTCCACCATTTTCACTTCCATTTATCTACATCTATGCAGTCTTTCTGAGATATCACTTTAAACACCAGATTAAAACGAATTACATTTGTCTTAATTTCCAGTTCAAACACTGACACTGCATACATCATTTTAGTGGATTTATCTAGCCCAAACATTTTTCCTGGAGGATTTTTATCTGTGGAGGAAAGTCTTCTGCTCTCATCCTAACTCAGAGTTTATTTTTCTGCCTGTAGGCGGGGAGTCCTATCAGCAGATACCAGGAACCTCCTTGAAGACTAAAGCCATCCCATCTTCTCCCATTTTTCTCAACTCAGAGGTTTTAACTACTAGATGTGTGTGGATTGCCTTCCAGTCTTTGTTTTACAGAAACCAAACCTGCATTGTTTTCCTTCCAGTATTGTTCATTAAAACCCATTCATTAAGCTCTGGTCCCTTCCCCCCTTTTGTACTTACTCCTGTCCCATATGTGCATCATATGTGCTTAAATTTGTTAGGTCACATTTTTCCAGTAATTGTCCATTTTTCAAAACCTTGTAATCAACACTGCTAATAGGAGCACCTGAGAATGTTCTCTTTTGTTGTTTGGCTCGTAAATCCTCAGCTGGCGCACAGAGGACACAAACAAACACACTTTTTTTACCGAAACAAAGCGCCATCACTGGGTTTCTGTTTCCTTGTCACTCGCTTTCCCTTGTGAGCAATTATCAAAATATCTGTATTGTAATTTGGTTCGGATCAGCAGCAACCCAAGTGAAGCACAGCCCATCGCCTAGCAACCAAAGCTGCGCTCCAGCACATTTAATCAGCTTATTTTACTGCTGTACAATGGCTGCTGGAAAAGAGAAGTTTTTTGTTGTTGATTTACCATCCAGAAACCACTTGCTGCCTTCATGTTGGCTGCGCAGGAGGCTTTTATTGTTCCTTTTCACATTGTTGAAAAGGAACAATAAAACTGGGCAAGAGAAAAACAATATTTCTGATTCATCATAGAGAAAGTCATCAAGTCCTTCGCATGGTTCTCTGAACGTCTGTTGATTTTTGACATTTTTTTATAAATATGAACTAAAACGTCATCTACGGTTGACAAGATTAAGATGACTGAAGTTAAAATTAAACAAATATTTATTTTTTGCTGTTTTTGAAAAAGGTGAAATCATAACTGTCTACTTTATATTTGAATGGTTAAGTCAACAATCTAAATATCTTTTGTTTGTCCATTAATCTATAATTTTCTATACATTAAAAATCTCAGGGGTCAATCAACTATATTGACCCCTGGGTAATACATTACCAAAGAATTTAGAGAAAAAAACAATCTGAAGATACCGATAGGAACTAATTTACTATTAATAAGGCTAATAATCTATTTATTCAAGCAAAGCCAACTATCTATTTTGGTGCCCTGTTTCTCCATCAAATATATTTTATTTCACAACTTTTAGCAGAATAAAGGCTGTCAAGACAGTTTTTAAAAATATATTCTGTGGAAAAGGTCAAATATGAAAGATGTTTTGAAACCTGGACTATAAAGAAAATATAATCTGCCTGGAACAGAGAGTTCACCTTGTTCTCTGTTTCTATGAAGATTTAAAAATGTATCAAAGCTTACTGATTTTATTGCCACAGTCAAAATGGATTGAATGAAATGAAACTTCTGTATTTGCACATTTTTGGAATCCAGCTATGCTACATTTAGCACAATTATTGACCATATTAAACATCAAATTGTATGTTTCCACTAAGCATGACCTCTGACTTTGAACACAAAATAACCTGACATTTTCAAAAATAAATTTGCTTTATGGAAACATGGTCATTTTGAAAGGATTCTAGTTTTTTTTATAAAAGATTTGGCACTGGGATGAGATTTTTTTTTTGTCCATATCAAAATTGGACCACTGGTCCAATGATCCACAACTAAATGTTTCCACTGGCGCAGACCATGAAGAAGACAACAGGAAATGGTAGGATGGGGCAGCATTATTTTTAATGACTTGTGTGGACAAACGTATTAAGACACAACTTTAATTTCATTCCTTATTTAATGGAGGCACCACATATGCAAAATTGTTTTTGACTTATTCAGGCATTGGAGTGACAAGACCCTAATACGTGGGAGCGGCTATGTATGCAATGTTTTGGGGAAATTGTAATTGTGATTTTACAGAAGAGCTGTGGATTCAACACTTTCCAATGACACACAACTTTTTATGAACTGTGGGATGTTGTGAGCTGCACGTTATCTAAAAAACCCCCAAAACTAACCATCGTCCTCATACCACTTCCTGTCATATTGTGTCGTTTTCGCCAGAAGCAACATCCGGTTGTTGGTCACCTGACTTGTGATGCAAAAAAATTTTTCTATTGCAGTTTTTCCAAATACACCCATTTGGATACGGCCAAAAAACCATCTCAAGCAACAGCAACAACATTTCATCAAAAAACTTGAGTTTTTTTCAGAACTGGTGTTTTTCCTTCAAGCAAATTTATTTTCATAATTTCAATTTGTGCTATTTTATGGCTAGTGGAATCACAGCTACTGTAACTGTCAACTTCTGGCAGCATATTGTGCATCATCAGGAGAATAAATATCCCTAAAAATCAACATCAGCTTTAAGGGGCTTTAGGGCTTGATAGCACTGAAGAAAAGAAAACAGGAGTCTGCACATTGGTGCTCACGGTTGGCAGACTTTACAGTTCGTCTGGTCAGAAAGGTGTGTCCCCGGATATGCGGTGGCGCCCCGGACCACAGGGGACACCGGTGGCACCGGCAGCAGCGTGCCCTCTGACTGCGAAGCGCTAAAACAGTCTGACCCAAATGGGCTGTGAAGGTCTGAGGTGTAGTAGGAGATTAACAACGTGTGGTGGCTGGAAACGGTTTGTATTTGCACACAGTAAATACTCTTTCACCCTTCTGCCGCAGAACGAGACTCAGACGTTATAGGTGTTATTAATAGAACGATTATAGGTACAGCCAGAATAGCATGTTTATATCCCGGCTTCGTCACAGCCAGGGAAAACACGTTACCGACATTTAACACCAGGATATACCCATTAAAAAGTGAGACTTGTTAAAGTGGAGACTAGCAGACACATCTGTGCACTTGCTTGTATAAACATGGATTATGTGGTGCCAGTTTAGGCACTCCAGATATTACTGTATACTCACTGTAAGAGCACCAAATGAGTTTGTCAAGGTTTCACTTACTGCGAATAAAAACTGTTTATGAAACATTTGTGTGAACATTTAGAAAAAATCTCCTTCTCTTTTACAAAAGTTGTTTGCTTGGAGGTTGAATCAACAGACTAAATGTTCACAGAGATGAAACACCAATCCAGTTCAGTTAAAACGTGCTTATTTCATGTCATTTCTGTGTACATCAGTTTGATTCAGATTTATCATTTTCTTTAATCTCTGCTACTCAAAAAGGTAAACTACTTGGCTAAATGATTTTGCAAAACAACAGGACAGGATTCAGTTTTCCCTTTGAGACTGTTTGGATCGGTGTACACATGTTTAACAGTGTCGTGAGTAAACCCAAGAGTTAGGTGTTGAAGTTTAGAAGGAAGAGGTTCTGAACTGTGGACACTCAAAAGAAACTGCAAATATCCTCACAACATAAAACTGGACGTAATCTCAGGGAGATTAGTTTACATTTTATCTATATACACATTTTAGCCCAGAATATTCTGAAAAAAAGAAGCTACTTTTAGCAAGCTATTGTTGTTTGGCAATAACTCATCTGTCAGGCCAGATTTAATGGGTTTTCATTAGTGAGAAACCAGCAATGCTTATTCTTCATCATGTATTGCACATTTTACCAGATTTATGTACTGAAAATAAATATCAAAATTTTCTCCCACCTGCATCCATGTCCTCATCTTGACTCAATAAACTCACTAGAAAGAAAAAAAATCCATCTATATCTTATTGTGACCTTCCTAGCTAAATATGTAGGAGAATAAAATCCCAGGAAATAAAGCCATTAGGTGTGGCCGTCAATTAATGTTGAATGAAATCATGTGTATGACTGAAAATATTGTGACTGGGATGGGGAGCAGAAATTCCCTCACTGAACCCATAAAGGGATTATAGTTTTTATACTGGGTGTTGCTAATGTAACCCAGCTACACACACACACACACACACACACACACACACACCCCTACACACACACACACACACACACACACACACACACACACACCACACACACACCACAACACACACACACACACACACACACCATGAATGAGTATCTGAAATATACATTTATTAAACACAAACTAAAGTCAAAGTTTCTAAAATGAAGTGTGAAAGTCAGTTTTGTAATGTGCTTAAAAAAATAATCAACAAAGCAAAAGGCAGCTGCACAGAAAAGTTGTTGAATAAATTATTAGAAATGTTTTGGAGCAATGTGTTTCTATTTCTCCGTGCTGTTGCTAACAGTGCTGTTTTAAAATCTGATATCATTTCTCATTCGGTTTCATTTTGCTAGAAAGGAAACAAATATTCCTGTCATTTTTGGGAAAAAAATTGATTTTTCACTCAGTAAGACTTTATTCATTAAACAAAGAGATTTTAAATAATTAATCAGCAGCTTAACAGCATTATTGACAAATAACCATAGCAAAAAACATGTCAAACTCCAGCTACACTTTAGTTTCTTTATCAACCAATAGTTTGTAAATATATTTGCTTCTTATTTGTAGCATCTCTCAGCAGACTCATAACAGCAGCAGCTCCAGCCTCTGTTTGACTCCTCAAGAGCCTTTTATGGTTTTGGACTTGGGTTTAGCTTCATGTGGTTTAGGGCCTTGTAAAGGCATTCCCTACGTTTATCCATCCTATCTCAAGTCTTTTGAAGCATCTAGCATTCCCTCCAGGATGTTGTAATGTTTTTTTGTTATTGTTATGGCCTAAAAGTATTGATTTTGAGGCACCCTTTTCAATAAATATATATATATTTTTGCTGCTGGTTTAACATCTCCTCTTTGCTCTTTCTATTGTGACAATAAATATTCATGTTTAATATGTGAAGAGCTGAGCTCCAGCACATTTGGCCAGTTAATTTTACCGCTCCATGTGCTGCACAATCGCAGATGGAAAAGACAAGTGGTTACCTTTCCAAAATCACTTGCTGCATTCTTGTTGGTTGTTCAGGAGACTCCACTTTTGCTATTCAAAGATTTTAAACGGCTTTATAATTGCACATCTGTTCACAACCATTTTTAAATATGTTGTTAATGAGCTAGGGGATGCGACTAGCAGCAACTTATTTGGATTTAAAGTAACAAGAGGCCATAAAGCAACTAACTCTGAAAGAAACTCAATATACGCAAATACCTAAGACTGATTTTTTGCAAAAAGGGTAATGAACGTTTTGTTTAGAACATAGACCTGTTCAAAGAAGAATTATAGGTCACCTTTAAAATTAGTTGCTGTTTTGCACTGCTTTGTATTGCCGTATCACTTAAAATCCTAAAAGAAATACATTAAACTTTGTGGTTGCAATGTGAAAAAATCTGGAGAAGTTCAAGGAGTGTGAATAATTTTGACAGGCACTGCAAAAGATGCGGTTCAGCACATAGAGCTGGAAGGAAACTGGTCTGACAGTGGTTCAGAAATGCAAACAAGTGTGTATTTGAGTCCTGACGGAGGCAAGACGCTGACACATGGCTGACCCCTGCCTGGCATGTGGTGGCAGCTTATTTTACAGCCCGCGGGGGTCACTGAGGGGTGATTCATGGTGTGTGGTAGGAGGGATGAGTCCCAGACGGCTACTGAAGCCGCTCGGACCGTCAAGCGCACAGGTGAAGCGCAGAGACCAGGTCGTTTGTGCATCTGAAAACAGCCTGTTTTTACTGCTGCGTGAAGCCTGATACCAACAGCCTGAAAGACAGATGTGTTTTACACTGAGCAATATTCTTCCCACTTTCAGTGTTTACACTGGACGGCTATGTTGAGTGACATCAAGGCGGACAGTTCCCTTTTTTTTTACTTACACAGCTTTGCCAGTTTTCATGCTAAATTTTGAGAAATAACTGACCTGATGGATTCGGGTGAAAGCTGTAATTTGGTTTCAGCTTTTAAAAGGAGTCTTTGAGATTAGCTTTTTTCTTCTTTCAACCATATCATAAATTACAAAAACAAGGATAAAAGTTCAGCTTTTCAGTCCAGGTGATGATTGAAGGATTCCCATTAGGTGCAAACCCAGAGGAACCGCAACAGTTTCAGATTTCTGTGAAAACCTGTTATTCATGCAATGTTGAAGGCAACAATTTAACATCCAGTTTAATTGAGGTTCAATTCAAAATATCTTATTTTCAATATAAATCTATAACTTCTCTGACAGTAGATGTGGCAAGTCCAGGTCCTTTCAGCTTTTCCTATTTATATTCATTTTCTTCCAGATATCTGATGAATTAAACAGACAAATATAAAATTAGAAAATCATAACTCAATGTTTCCCTCTCACCAAAATATGACATTTCTCATCAGAAAAGTCATTTCAGTGTTTTTCGTCTTCTCCAAGAACCCGGAAAAGTGTTTCAAAACATGTTGGTAAAAAATATAAATATAATTATATCAGGTGTGTGTAATTTTGAGGAACCAACACATTTTAAAAGTTGCTCCAGAACCAACTTTCTCAGGTATCAGTCCTTTTTAAGCTGATTGGTAAAAAAAAAACAAAAAAACAAAAATGAAACAAAAAAACCCAACAAAACTTCTCTGTTAGTTAGTTTCTGCAGCAACCAGATTATAAATAGAAAACCTGAAAACAGACAATAAAAAAGATGGATGGATGGACT